CCAGCCTATCATCCTCGTCGCTCTTCTTCAACTTCTTGGAGAAGCTCCTCGCGGAATCCCAGGCACCTTCGTCAAATCCACCGCCGTCTGATCGCTTGCAGTTCCTCGAAGAAGAATCCTCCATTTCTCTCTCTCTCTCTCTCTTCAAGTTTTCTTCTAAAGCCAACTTTTCGAGTTTTCTGACTCTCTATCTTTCCGGTTTGTTTTCTGCTTCTTATGGGAGGGAGAAAGGGACGGGGGAAAAAAAGTAGAGAACTGCCGGAAATGGAAGGAGAGCCGTTGATTAAACCGACGGTTGAGATCACACTGGGCCCAGCGGAAATTATCCGTGTGGTCCCTAACTATTCACTTAACGGTGTGATTAAAGGGCAGAATGTAATTAACAGCGCCGTTATGATTACCAGACGGTTGGAATTTGGAAAGGAAAAAGGAAAAGGATGCTCCTTACCGTTAAAGAAGCGTTACCTCTCCGTCCACGGTCCATCCCAATTAATCATGACACACTTAAATGGTAATTAAGCCACTCACTGGGTTGTTTGGCTTTGTAACTAAGGTTAGTGGCATGATTAGGGTCACTAGCTAGGTTCCAGAGGTTGGAATAATTTATATGGGATTTTCTCAACAGCTTTCATTGTTTTCGATTTTGTAGAATATGTAAGTCCTGAAGTTATAGGCAACAAAATAGAGTTAGAAATTTGCATTCATGTTTGCTTTTTATGTTTGTTATATGGATTGATAACAATGTTAATTGGATCGATGTGGAAAGAGGTGCGTTGCTTGTCATTAAAGTAACGTATGACGGTTATCGAACGATGGAGATTGAATGTACATATCTAATAATCACACATATTTTTCTTGTCATTATTTTCGCTGATCGATGCGTTGCAACATGTTGTCGTTTGTCTCCGCTGACTACTATTTCTACTGAAACTGCCACAAGCTAACTCCAACTGTTGGTATACAATAGATTATTCTTTTTTCGTTAATATTGATATTTTAGGTTTCAACCATTGCTCTTTCTAAGCGGATTTAACAAGTTTTCTACACGAGCTTGCTAAATATGAAGTCACTTGGATCTGTTATAGTTTTTATTTTATTTTTGTGTGAATTTCCGGTACGGACTTGCAATATACAAGTTTGTAGTATGAATATACTAATTTTCTCAAATAACAATTATCGGGAGTTTGGGACACTTTTGGATGGACTATAGAGTGATTTTTGCATGTGATGATGGTTAGAATGTTGTTGTCTAAAATCCCCCGGAAAAGCATGTTGGTGATTTTTAAGGTAATAATGAGATGCTCGAATCTTTCAACGTCATCAAAGTAATTAGTATATTGATGAATTGGTTTGTGAATTCAAGGCCATACATGTTGAGATTAATTAATGATTACAAAAAATATTAATGTTAACTGAACGGCTTCGCCAAAACGTTTCCTAATTTTGGTGGAGAGACTTGAAAGCATGCTTCCGTTATTAGTAGTTGTTCAATTGAATATGAATTAAATGGATTGAATTCATTGGATTACTAGATGAATTAGATTGGTTGATTAAATATCAAGTAGCAACCTCTAGTTCTGCATTCATTTGGTCTTTGGATGATTCGTTGGATAAGGGTTACGCAGAGATCAAACCACCCATTCATATGAATGGACTGTTGCCGCCAACACCACAACGAACAAGACTGAGAGATCGAGGAGATCATTAATTTGTTAGGGACTTCAACGTGAGCACAGTTAGGCATGTGTTTGCTCGATCGGATTGCTCGGGCATTAAGAGCGTGTGTGTGATTAGTGATTAGTTCAATCAAGACCAAATTAAGAATGAAAAGAGAACATATATATATACGAAAATGTCTTCCCTTGTAACTACTTAGCTCAAAACGGGGAGGGTCCTACGGTTGAACATGGGTCTTCAAGACGAGCTCATAATTTACAACTCAAATTATTTTTAAACCTACTTTATTTTGTAGCCTCGAATCAAATATAAAGATATAATGCAGCACAACCCGACCTCTGGCCTGCAAAAAGAAAGAGAGCGAAGCTTTTTTTTTTTATTTTTTTGCCCATGGACCTCTTTAAACTCCAACTCCAATCGAGGTGGACATTGATGCAGTTTATACTTTATAGTCCGATCAAATGCCACGTTTAGAATGTGTAAAGGAAGCTAGAAAAAGTGAAGCAAAACGACAGGCAGAAATAAATAGGGCTGAACAGCTCGGAAAGTGTAAATTGTAAATGGTAGGGTTTCGGATTTGAACAAATTATTGGGAAAAGGAGTGGAAAAATAAGACCCCCAGGCCCCAACTCTTATGTTATGTGTTCGTCCCAATAGTTTCGATTTGTTCGGAGAACTTCAATGATAAATAAAAGTTTCTTTATTAACACTCTAAAAACACTTACTTATATAGGCTTAAAGTATGGACATATTAGAATATCATGTATTTAACAAATTAGAGATATCTGAATTCAAACACCAACCCTATCAATCATCAAATACTCTTATACCATATCGAAAATCAATTTATCCTGATAATTCAAGTTGCTAGGAGACATTCAATTATCAATTTCATATGAAAAGAAGGTAAAAATAAAGAAACCACAAGTTTTGCCAATTCTCATATTCTTAAAAGCAGTTGTCGACCCCTCTTTCCCCAGAGCTTTTTAGAAAAGTTGCAACCGGGAAATTGAGAGCTTAGAGGATAAGAAATGTGAACCTTGCCGCTGACATGTTTCCAAATCTATCGAGAAAGCAGCAAAAGAGCCTCAACAAGTCTCTCAACTCACTCTAAAACCAGTCTCTGTGAAACCGTTCGGTGGTCAAACCTATAAAAACCTCCTATTGAAATACAAATCGACAAGTTATCTTTAACGTGGTATGAAACGATTGAACCACGATTTAAACACAATCTACCCTACCACTATCTTTTTTGGTCCAACCTCCAGTACGGTTTTACAATCCTAGCTCTCAATAAATATATCCGAGAGCGCTAACCACAATACCCATCATCGGGCTGATCTTATATACTAGACTTCCACCCCAGAATCCGAGCCGCTAGAAACTCGTTGATTGGTCAAAAACCACATCAACATGCTAGTGAAGGTCTATTAGCCCACACGAATAGTTTTCAGCACAAAATACTATACCGCTAACTTTTCCGGTACAACTTCCCGTAACGATAAACACTCCTCTGAAAGCTAAGTGAAGCATCCAGCAAAGAAGAAGACGATCGAATTATGAATGTGGACACAAAGTCCTCCGAATGTGACAGCCGGAGAGACGAGATAGGTGCCGCAATTCATAGAATTTGTGGCCCTAGAAACTTAAAAAAGAAGACAATAATAATGTGGGGAGAAAAACAGGGATGGGAAGGAAACAGGATAAAGACACAGCAAGCAGAAAGGGGACAGTTCTTTGGTGGACTTCATTTCAGGAATCTGCTATCAAAGCCACTCTGCTCTATTCATAAAAAAAATAAAAGGCCCTTTCTTTGGCCTTGAAATTATAGCAGCTTGCAGAAATTGCAATTTTATGTCCACGTCCCCAGAAGCCTTTTCTTTCTTTTGCTTTTCCATTGAGCACTGAGAAAAGAATTCCAGGCTGCTATCTGCATTGCTATCTCCATGCACAAAACCTCGTGATTTCAGCAGCTGAGAAAAGAATTCTAGACAGGCTAAAGAGGCAGGCAGAGCCTCTTTAGCCCGAGTTGCATATGAGTCACATGAAGATTTGTAGTAGAGGGTGGGATCTCGGTTTGGTTCGGTTTACTGAAAATCAAGAAACCGGAAAACCGAAACAAGCACCTTTCTTTGAAATCAAACTAAGCTGTTCAGGGGCTTCACAATTTCGGTTAAACCTGTACGGACTGTCCAGCCGAAAAAACCGTCTGCCGGAGTAAAAACCGGTGTAGGATTTTATCGGGTATAAAACGGTCGAATAACGGTTTAAAGTTTAAACACAAAAAATCCTACCAGTACCTTATCCGGTACTGCCTGTTCTAAAATCCTTGCCAATAACAGTTTAAACCTCCTAGCAGTTAGGTTTGGATTGACCAAAACCGATAAGTGCAAAAACGATTAGAGATCGATACCAGAAACTGATAAGAGCACCCAAATCGACAGCCCTAAGAGATATATATGGACACCAAATTGAACTAACTGAAGATCTATGGCTTGGTTTCAAGAATAGACATTCAGACTTCAGAGCTACTTTGATTTATATTACAGATGGGAGCATCCATCTGCTGAACCAAGTAGCTGGCAACACAGGGATAAGATCTATCCTACAGCATTTACAGCGGTTAACCTAGTGCAGGCCAAACAGTTGTCAAGGAAAGGCAGCCATTAATTTAAACCTGCCTGCATGAAGAAAAGCTATGAAAAAGGATAGGATTCCTGTGAAAGAGGCCTCCATGAGGGAAAGCACCAACTGGCCCTCTCCATCTCGAAGCATCTCTACTTTCCCTATTACACTTCGACTTTATTTTTAAGAAATAAGTTAAAATCCATATAGGGTAGGGAAAACAACTCAAAAAGATTTCATCTGTGGGGATAAAAATAGGTCAGAAAAGAGTAGAAACAAGGCTAGAAGTTATAGATGCATTTGAAGGGCAAATGAGATGGGGGAAGATATTACTGGTAACAGACTGATTGGTAAATAATAGCAGCATTCTATCCTGACCTGATCAGTACGACTCTGACGAGTTATTAGTGGGCTGGTTCCTAGGGCTCCACCTAGGGGTATAGGTTCGGTTTTAAGGGCTTATCGATTTCCCTTTACGAGTAAAACCCGGTAAGCACTTAATGGTTTTGGTTTCGAGTAAAACCGAAAACCGATAAGGCTTAACGCATTCAAGGGGCGGTTTTCGGGTTTTCAGTTTATTCCGACCGAAATCGTTAAGGGATGCTCGGTTTCGGTAACTGAAAAACTGATCATCCCTTAGCGGTTTCGATTTTGAGCAATTGACTAAATCATTTTTCGGTTCGATTAACCGAACCAAACTGCCACCTCTACCGCTCTACCCCACCTTGTGTTTAGGCCCATGTCCATTAATTGTGAACTAAAAACAAATACTCTCCCATCAATTTATGCTAGCGACCCACATTTCACATCACACCAGCGGCAAAACCAATGGCAATGGCTGGTGTGGCGGCTCCTAGAGCAGCAAGAGGGACCACTCTGCAAATTTCCTACTTCTTTCCCCCTTTTTCCTAGTTTGATCTAACTAGGCAGCATTCAAGTTTCACTGGGTGGGAAATGGAATATGAAAAGAATGATATGGATGGAGATCAGAATAGATGGCAGTAAGACTGTAAAAGTTTGTTACGAAGCAGACATTGATAGATCACGATGACGACGAAGAAGAAGCGAGAAGACGGCCTACCTTGAATTTCGAAGGTGGTCCGCTGAATTCTGATGATCAGTAGGAAGGTCAGATCTACTGGAAGATTGATGCTGATGATGATGGCGGCCCTTTGTTTAAAAACTCGGGTTCGTGATGTAACTGCGTCGCTACTGCTGAAAGGTACTCATCCTTGTCTTGCTGGTGGAGAAATCTTTATGAGAGCTCACTCTGTAATTCTCTGCTACCTGCATATGCTTATACACAACTTTGTTTTTTGGTTTGAGAAAAAGAAAAGAAAAAAAAAAACAGAGCATGAAAGTTAACTTGCTAAGCTAGCTACCAGTGATCACTTTTTGCAGAGAAAAGTTTCAGATAAAATGAGAAATGGTATTCATCATCGGGGACGCAAATGAACATATAAGGTTTGCAAATGCTGCCATCATTTTCATCTCATCCTTCTATGCTTTGTTTTTGGTTTCTAGGTTGGCTATAACAGCGGCCGAACGAATCAGCCGGTTGATTCGATCATCTCGTTATGATAAACGGTGGATGATAGCTTGGTGGTGATCATATGGTGATCCCCAATGCTTAAACGACCTTCTTCACTTGGAAATAGTTGGGGCGATCCTTGTGCGCTGCATCTATGTGGCCTGCAGATGCCACGGCTACTGAAACTCCTTTATGTTTCACAGCATCGATCGCGTCTGCAAATTCCCTGAAGTTCTTCAAGCTGTGGGCAGTGGAAGGGAAAAGGAGAAGGTTATGTGTTGGAAATCAGAGCCCTCCATAACTCCAAAACAAAACCAAAAAAACAAAGCTTGGACGACAACATGGATGTCAAGGGAAAAAACTTATTTGGTTCCCCACGATTATCTTTGATTTTGTATGGTTCTTACTGCAGCCTATTTGGTTATGACTAATGAGGACAGCCCCAGTCTTACATGGCTAAATTTTCATTTAAGAACAATCACATTGCACGCACTGTCTAACAATGAAAAAGCCGAGTATCTGGTTTACGATGTAAGAGGCCGATGAATCTTTACCTAGTTGAGAGTATCTCTTCGCGCCTCTGTTGCCTTTCTTCCTCGGTGACACCTCGCAGGTACCTCAACATGCTGAAATATTCGAATATAGATTAAATGATTTAAGGATACTTACCAACTGGAATAACTTAATTCGGAGTTCAACAAAAAGCATATAGATATCATTTTCCGAGAAGACAAACCACCATAATATTCTCAAGGAAGCTTTTCAAGTTGGAAACTGGAAAAACAGATTATCAACCAACCTGTTATAACCTTTGGCATCCGGTAGCTGGTATGAGTCCACATTTCCAATGGTACCAATAATGGACTTTGTAAGAGTATCATTATCAAGTTCTAAATCACGCAGAAAATCCCCAGTTGCATCGTATATATCTAGTGTGTTCAGCAAATTGGGGTCTCTCCAAGATAAGAAGTAACAGACTCCTGAAACATCAAAAATCAAAGAACAAATAACAAATAACCAAGCATGTATAAGAAGCTCACACTATCTGTTCCCCCGATGCTTAGTGCAAAATAGCAAGGTCTTTTACCTGAGTAAGGATTAAAATGACTCATTCCTCCATATGCTCCGCCCATCAGACGAACCCGATCCCACAGCCATGTATTAGAAATGTGGTTGGAGATAACATATACACTCCCATGAAGTTGATAACCAGCTTCATATATGTTAGCAGCTTTGCCAACATAATTAACCTGGAAAAAAGCTTGCAGGTCTAAGTTTCTGGAGATGCAGGATACCAAAACTAGCATCTAATCAAAATATGCTTCACCTGCGAAGGTATCACAATTGCTTCATTTCCTAGAGGAAGTCGAGCATTCCAAGAAGCAGTTGCTGCCGATGAGCTGCTTGGAAGACAATCAAGGAACTTGCTGACATACTTCTCAGAGGCTGTGAGATTCTTCCCATCAGCAGTCAAATTTACCAAGCATCCATCCTTTGACAACAAAGATGCGCGGATTTCCTCTAGTGATGCAGAAATTCCATCCCAATCTTGATCAACTCTCTTTTCCAGATCTTGCAGGAACTCAAGGTAACTATACATAAGAAATCATACCATGTCATCTTTAGCAAAGTACAGAAAACTTATCTTAGGATTGGACCTTCAAATCTTTTATAACCCCTCACTGTGGAGATTGTCCCAACAGATTATAGGGTTTAACGATTTCATTATTAAAGAAATGAGGTAAATACTAGACCTGACACCACCCATTTGTTCTGAAATCCAGCCGGCAGTACTAAACTTGGCACCCAGCCTTGAAGCAGCAATTGCATGACCACTACCGCTTAAGCTGCTCTGTAAATATATGAAAACCAATGCATTAAATTGCCACCAAATTTTTTTACTGCATATACGATTTGTAATAAAGGATTAGGACCAGTTAAGCACCTCCATTCCTGCTTTGCTCTGTGAAACAAATTGCTTGAATCGCTGCTGGTCTGTGAATTGTACTTCTTGAAGAACACATTTTACCTACAGTCAACTACAAAAATCAATCCCAGTATCAAAAGTAAACTGCTTTATTAGATAGGGTAAAGCCTTCATGATATCATAAAGGGGCAAGGGATGGAAAACATAGAACCATCAAAATTTATGTTAGTATATTGTAGAGATGTGCAGCATGGCAGTAAAGAGAAGCTAGTAGAACTCCAGAGGCCCTTGGTGATAAAAATTCATATAGGGAAGTGCCCAAAGCCAAAGATTAGGGGACTTGATTATTATTGAAATACAAAAAGTTAAATCTGAGTGTTAACAGTTGGAACCAGCTTGTTCCTTCTAATTATTTGGAAGGGGTGAGATACTAAGGACGCATAAAAACTGACAAGCATGCACAAAATGCACTGCCCAGAGACTGAAGGCCAGGGGATAGCTATGCAAACAGATAAGCAAGCTCACTCGTTTGATCCTCAATTTACCTAGGAAAACTTCCCTGGAAAATGAGTCAAGTTGACAAAAATACAGCACCTTACAAGTTCGTATGCCACAATAAAAGCAATGCATCAGCAGAGTGTACAATCAGCATAATAATAAGTGATAGTGATATCTAAGCACTCTTGATATTCTCGATTAATTATCATAGTTGACTTATAAAAGCAGCTGGTGAATAACCCAGTTCGAGATTACCAGGTTAAACAAGTCTTCAGCACGCCCCGCCATGGCCTTCCCTCGAACGATAATATGACTACATAGATCTGTTGAGCCCCTGACAGAGGATGTGAAGGGATAAACAGATATACCCCCTGTTTTCCTTCCAATCAGCTGATTAAGTTGAACAAAACTCATATCCTTTGTACCCATCTCAAGCAGCGATTGGCTGTTAAGACCACAAACCAGTTAGAACAAGGATCAAGGCTTCTTCTATTCATAATTTCCCATTGCCATCATAAAGAAAAGAAATAATCAAGGCTGAATGTAAGTTAATAGGGGATTCAGCAGACATTTAAGAAACAAACAGCTACCACAAGAGATCAAGGCTTCTTCTATTCATAATTTCCCATTTCCAATGATATTTTACGTAAATAAATTAAATTTTGGGTATCAAAATGTATAATATAAAAGTATAGATACTAAGTGTAATGTTTCAGATATCCATCCATCTATCCAATTGGATTTGGATTAACTGGATCCACAAGTTTGTTGGATACTAACAAGGCACCAAATTGGTATCAGTGTCAATTAGTTACAGGTATGTTATGACACGCAGGAAACTGAAGCGCGAGTGAAAACTTATATTTCATCATACAAGAACAATCCAACTACTGGTGGTAAGTGAAGGGAATAACTGAACAAAATGCAAAAAAACTTCATCAACCTTGACTTAGCAACCAAGGTTCCTGTCTCGGTGAAAATGTATCCAGTGCTACAGAAACCACCATAACAGAACCTTAGGTGTCCGATCATTATGAGATTCTGAATTCCAGGGAAGATCTCTAGGAGTTATAGAGAAAAACGAGAAGCCAAAAATCTAATAAACGTCCTTAACTCTGACTTGTTCGGAACCCAAGGAATGATATCATTAATTTGACCATGGGGATACAAACTCAGACATAATGGCATCTCAAGTAAGACATCTTGAAGTAGAGAAAAAGGAGCAGTAATCCTCTGAGTTTAGCTTCAGGAAAAGTAAGTTTCGAATTACTAATTAAAACCAACAATATGTGGTTGGTTAGTGGAGAAAAAAGAGAGCATATAATGTGTTTAGTTCCACGAATACCAGACTGTTCGAAGCTGAGGAAAAAGAATATAGAAGTCGATAAAATGACCAGAGGACCTCAAATGCTGATGTCTTACCAGAAAAGTGGTACCAAAGGAAGAAGCTCCTGCTTCAGTGATCTGATATCAAATACTACTTCCGCATAAAGGACATCATTTGTAAACAGGTCATGCTGCAATACTTTTGCTCCATTAATCTCCCCAACCTAAACGTATTAAGATTATTCAAATAAGTAAACCTCCAGTTCTCATTAAAAATAATAACAATAAGTACACCTCCAGTTCTAAAATGAAAAACAAGAATATGCACAACAATGTAAGCTGTATCCAACCTCAATTGGAGTGGGAGTGGTTCGTTTCGGAATATCATCAAGCTGGAGGCATGGAACAGTCTTTAAAACTTCCGGGGGGTCTGGAGTTTCCTGCTTCAGTTTTAATTCCTGTGTTGCACGGGTTAGCTCAGCAAGATCTTCTTCTGTCATACTTGCTTTCAACTTCTCCAGTGATTCTCTCTCTAAGGAATCATCACGAGAAGCTTTCTCTGGATCAGGCTGAAATAGTAGACCTGTTACACTCTCATAATATCAAGAAATTACCAAACTAAATCAAGTGTAGAAATATAAACCCACCTGCATTTCCACAATAGCACGATGATTATTGTTCAGTATAAATTTCTCGATTAAAGGAGAGAAAACAGCTTTAGAGCCTTCCTTGGCTATTCTAGCTTTCAGTGCCTTCAATGGTTCCTCATATTTTAAAGGCCCAAAGGGATCCAAACCATAAATCCATTTTCCCTGTACAATTTGACAAGTAGATTTAGCATATCTAGAGGGGGTATGAAGGCGACTGGTATCAAGAAATCAATAATATCTGAACACTTACCATGGACTGGAACATCAGTGCTAAGCCACGAGGAAATGATCCAGTGTTGTTTTCTCTGAGATGAAACTCAATTGTGTTCATGGATGCTTCCACAGCTTCGGACTCAAAACCTTCTTCGCTTATTTTTTTTAGTGTACTGAAAATTAATTCTTCTACCTTCTGAATATCATCTTCTGAAACTCCTTTCAGCCCAATACTGAATTGAGGTTGAAGAAGGTCATCTTCTATACCGCCACCAACAATGTCATCTCCCAGACCACTGTCGAGCAATATCTTCATCAATGGAGAAGCAGGAGTTCCCAACAAAAGATGATCCAAAAATCCAAGTGCAAGCTCAGTTTCCAAGTCCAGTGTCTTATCAGAGAGCAACCAGTTAAGGCACACCATATGCTTCTTTTTCAAATCACCTCCATCACCAGCTGGATACTTATGCACAACCCTTACTGGCTCTGAGAAAAGTCTCTGAGGCTCAACTGTCGATTCACTTGGAGATGAACTTGACCCAAACATCTCCAGATATTCTGCACGTGTGAAGGAGACCACATCACAAAACTGAAACCTTTCTGCAATAGTCTTGAACTCAAGCGATAAAAGGAAACGACCTCAGAAGTGAAAGTGTCATCATAACTCACAATAGAGAGTTCAAGCTTCAAAACCTTCAGATGGAGGTATGATGGTTAATGGGATAAGGGACTAATACCTATGTAACAAATCATAATGACGCTGAAGAAAAGGAAATGAAGCTCTTTGCCAGCAATATTAACTTAATTATTCATGGCCTCAGCCAGAAATGAGATTCAAAAGTCAGGAGTTTCATTTAGACACTTCATTCTGATCATCTTTACGCACTAATAGTATCTCTTCCTTATGTATCAGTTTGTATTCCTTTCTCACAACACACCTACAATGAAGATATTGGACGTGCAGCATAAATTAACAGTAACTTTGTATAATCTGTAATATCAAGTCAGTAAATACCACTCAGGATTCGCAGGCGCTCGGATGGATCATCATCTCCATAAAACCAAATCCTTGCATTGCTAGGGTGGTAATACTTACGATGAAATTCCTGCAATTTGTTGTTTAAAGAATCAGAGCTCCTTCACTGTGATTCATCATGCAGCAGTATGTATATCTCCAAGATCTCTCAACTAATAAATGAATGCACCAAATATTTTTTTAAATTGATGCTGTAAAGATTCTCTATATATATAAGAAAAATGGGTCAACAAAAATAGCTCCTTACATTCCTGCAGAAAAAGATTGTAAACCTTGTGGGTTTTCAATACCCAAAACTTGAAAAATTGCACACAGTAGTAGTAAACAGAAACTCTGTCAACAGACCTTGAATTCTTCGAATGTCAGCTTGGGAATAACTGTGGGGTCCCCTCCACTGTCAACTCCATAGGTATTGTCGGGAAAAACAGCCTGAACAGGGAAAAAGGATACCAGTTAACACTACAGGGTAATACTTTTTCGTACAACATCCAGAAAGTTGGTTAATGAACTATGGACGCAGGAGGATCTTGGGCCAGTCTCATACTCCAGTAGTTATAAACAAGTAACCACTAGTACTTGGGATCAGGAAATACAAAGAAAAGTCAGGAAGAAAGCTGAAATACATGAGAACATAGGAACACCGAACACCAACGACATTTCCAGATTGTTTCCTCCTACGTCAAAGAAAACTAAGGAACTTTCTGAAAGCTCGATCTGTAAGAAAAGTTGTATTCTCAGAACTTGTACTTGTTTTAGATGAATGGAATTCTTAGAACTTGTGTTACAAGTGGAACTCCTAATCCATACGACCCATATGTGGTGCAACAGTAAAAATACAAGCAACATTGGAAAGGGGAAATGTAACCATGAGAAGGGAAGATAGAGAGAAAAAGACTGGAACTCTGTAATCATAATATAATCACAAGTATGACTATGAGGAGGATGTTCAATGGAGGTGTTTAGTCACTGTTTTGCTCAAGCTTATGCAACAACGTCAAATATATACCCTAGGAGCATAATGTTACACGTCAGGAATGATGATATCGTCTTTATGTGAGTGGTTGTCTTGACAGGGAGAGTGAGGCAGTGAGATGATGGTGACTATCACAGACTACAAGATATAAGTGGACTTACACGTCGAACAGCCCGGCCCAAAACATTTTCTGGCTGAGAGTAGACACCTTTCATCTCGTTAAAGACAACACCTGAGGATAATTCAGGTACATACGTGTAAGACCAACAACCTTTGGTGGGACATGAAATGGAAGCTAACTAAATTTTGCTGAAGATTTACCTTTATAAGTGATCTCTTTGGAAGGATCATCCAGCTCATAATGCCAGCCCTCCTGCTGAAAGATTAGTTCGTCCTCCACACAATTTGGGAAGAAGACAGCATCCAGATAGACATCAACTAGATTGTAGAAATCCTGTTTTCACATTGAGATCGAGGTAACATTAGTGAGCAAACGGGAAAATGATGGACAAACAAATTCTGGATTCGCCGTATCCCATAAGAATGTACCTACCTTTGTATTCGTTGAAGCAATTGGGTAGCAGGTTCTATCAGGAAAGGTAATTGCATTAAGATATGTATTCAAACTTCCTTTAATTAGCTCCGCGAACGGCTCTTTCAGAGGATATTTTCTTGACCCACACAGCACGCTGTGTTCCAGTATGTGTGGAATCCCAGTTGAATCCTTCCTGCATTACAGAATTAGAAGTTAAGCACTGCAGAATAGAAGGTCCCTATACGCAACTGAACTTCAATACTCTCAAAACGATCACCAACAACAACGTTATATATGTACACCAGTCTTCTATGCATAGTAAATCAGCATGTTTCAGGTTCATTGAACTTTAGCAGCCTTCTCATCTACACAATACAGGAAGTTAGAATACTTACGGAGGCGTTCGAAGCACAATGCCGAAGACCTTATTCTCATCGTCATTCGACACTGACATAACTTCACAACCAGTCTTCCTATGCTTGAAGAGCACGGCCTTTGATTTGCACTCTTCAATGAACTGCTCCGAAACCTTCTCGAATCCCAGCTTCTCTGCAGCCTCATCAGAAACATCTACAGCAGCAAACAATTATTTTTAAAAAAATCCAGTTAACTAACTTCACAACCATCTACAAAAGGATTTTTGCTATTAGCAAGATGCCAAACGTAAATTATCCTCGAATCTCATCGCACACAGCGCAAACTTTACAGGGAAGTACGGAAACCGCTACAGTAGGCACGCTGGAATGTCCAAGCTACAGCCAAAATCCTAATTCGAGCGGCTTAGCTCTACATGTGCGATTGTCAATTGAAATAACAGGAATCGATACGGATTATAATTTCTAGCCGATGATAGCTTCCGATGAAAATTTCCTCCAGCAACAGAGAGAGAGGACAAGGAAGTACCTGAGGAGAACTGAGGCGCTGATGGTGTTGCTACGGCGCGAGCGGAGAGAGTGGAGAAATGTTTATCGGAGTGAGCTGAAGAGAACGACGGCGACGAGGAGGAGGAAGAAGCAGCGACGCGGAGCAGTCTGGAGTGACGGCGGCGGCGGAGGAGGCGGGAAGAAGCGGAAGATAAGGAGGAGGAAGCAGAGCGGGACGAGACGGGAGGTGAAGCGGGACGACGAAGAGGAAATGATCTGCTGCCGGGGAAGTAGAAGAATCGGTTGGGAGCTAGAGAGGAACAGCGGAGAAGAGCAGCCCTCTCCATTGTTGCTTTTGACGCAGAGGAAGAGAGCTCTGCAGAAGCCAGAAGGGCTATAATGGTCGTATGGGCTCGGGTTTGGGAGATGGACACGGTGGCAGAAAAATGGGGAAATAAAAATATCTGCAGCAGGTTTAATATCTTACTAGTTTTCATACCCGCGCTACGCGCCGGGATTTGTGATTCATTCGCAAAAGAGAAAGGTTTACCATGTGTTATATGTAATCTATGTTTGATTTATTAAAGGATTAATAGGCATACAAGCCCCTGTACTATCAAAAGATAACAAATGAGCCCCTGAACTATACTTTTAACGAAATAAGCCCCTGTCCTATATTAAGATAACAAAGAAGCCCCTCCCGTCTAAACTTCCGTTAAATTACCTGCCACGTGGCAGCAACACGCTGAGTCAGAAAAAAATGATCTTGAAATGTCCCTTTTGCCCTTATAACCAAGTCCCTAAAATTTTCCTAGCTTCCCATCTAAACCTGTACGAATGTGATATATATATATATGTATAATAATTAAATAAATAAAATGATTGCCACTCCATCTTTCCCTTTCGCCTTTATAATGAAGTCCATGCAATTTTTCTAGTTTCCCATCAAAAACTGAACCTGTACGAATGTAACATATATACAAAATAAAATAATTGGATTGCCACTCCATCTACATCGAGGATCGAGCTATTCATGGACCAATGAAACACAAATAGAAACCAGAAGCAGCAACTATATATTGCATCAACAAAATAAAATCCACTATAAAAAAACAAAACAAAATCCATCTCCTGCAACCAGTTCATGGTGCTTATATAAACTAAACCAAATAAATGTTTAATTTCCTAGTTGAGAAAACTACTGTTTGATGAGTTTATGGCCAATATGAAATAAACTCATCCATAAACAATGTAAGGTGAACTAGAGCTGTGTTGTCGTGGTGGTGGTGGAGCTTTCTTGTATTCCTCTAAGTTCCTGATTCAAGACTGCAGATTGTTGTTGCCTTTGTCTTGAACCACCCTCTGAGATGACATTCCAAACTGCAAGTTAAAGAGTGATAAACACCACACTCATTACTCTGTATCCCTTCATTATTAGAAGTGTAAACACCGCAGCAACAGAGGGAAAGAGTTGGCAGGCCTAATACATTAGTAAGATAACTAGAGATCATACCTCTTTGGCTTTCTTCACAGGACACGTCCGGATATTGTGTCCTTCTCCACGACATTCTGTACATGTAATCACTATCCCAGCTCGGCACAACTTGGAGGGATCATTCTTATCCGGTGCCAATAATTCTTCTCTAGTGTATACACGTTTCTTCTTTGGCTTCTTTTGATTTTCCCTCTCTTCTCTAGTGATAATTCTTTTTTTCTTCGGTCTGCCCGGCATTCTGCGGAATGCAGGAGGGAGTAATGGCTCGTACTCACTAGGCTGCCATGATGATGGTCCTGCCATTGGGATAATCACATGCTTATATGTGCTCCAGAATTTGGAGATGGAGAACCATTCCGAAATATACTTTTGAGGATCTTTTTCTTCATACACCAAACATGTTATGGCATGTGGGCACGGGATTCCAGATAATTCCCATGCCCTACAAGAGCATGACAAGGCAGCAAGATCCACCGTGAATCGATCGTCACGATGGGTAACTTCATAACCACTTTTCCCATTTCCAACAATGTGGCAAAAACGAACCTCTTCTGCATTCTTCGTGTATTTCTTCAGTGGTTTGGGACAAATATTGGATTCCCATTTTGCTCCAATTGCCCTCTTTTGTGCTATCCTTTCCATGTGCATTATTCTGAGATCTTCAAGCAGGCTTAGTATAGCCTTGTGTCGAGGCTCAATGATTAAGGCATTCCAACTCTCAGACATGTTGTTATCTACTGTATCACACTTGGTATGGGTTGAGAAATGAGCCCGACACCAGAATTTTGGGTCTACTGAAAGCATTGCGGATGCAGCGTCACTGTTTTGTGCCTTCAGTCTCTCAAAGGCACGAGAGAAGCCTCTCAAAGTGGTAGCCTTGGCACATTGCCAAAATATTTTTTGCCATTCTTGCTTCTTGAACCTTTTCCTCCAATTACAGTATATGTGCCTAGCACATAGCCTATGCTCTGCATCTGGAAATAACTCAGCTATTGCTGGAACCAACCCCTACAAACAGCTCCTAATAGTAAGAGGCAACGTCTCATGAAGTAAAAGTCAAAACAAAATATGAACAGTGGGGTTACCTTCATTTGATCTGATATGAAGCTCCAGCCGATACCACTTTCAATGTTTAAATCATCCTGCAATTGTCGAAGAAACCAATCCCAAGAATCTCTAGACTCCACCTCTACGACGCACCATGCAACCGGATACAATTGGTCATTTGCATCTCTACCTATGGCAGCAAGTATCTCACCTTTGCATAAGCCCTTCAAGAAGCACCCATCCAATCCTATAATCTTCCTGCATCCTTCCAGAAAACCTTTTTTTAGTGCATCAATGCATATGTACATTCTCTTGAATAATGGTTGTTGTCCAGGATTATGTCGATCAACCATAATCTTAACTGTCGATCCTTCGTTCCTCCTTCTAATCTCTTCTGCATAGGTCCACAAGAGGGCATATTCTTGTGTATAGCATCCTTGAGTCTTGTACATCACAATGGACTTGGCACGAGAACACAACATAGTAGTTACATCCACCCCCATTTCTTCTTTAATGGTCTGTTTGATGTCTCTAAGTTTCCATCGAGGATCAGTTCTCATGCGCCTTTTATACTTCACAGCAATGATTGTGGGAGAAATCCACTTGTTCTTGAAATGGATCGGGCAATTATGAACCTTAAAGGTTTTCAATTGCAATCTTTGTGCCTTCTTGGTAAATGATGCATAGAAGACAAACGAACATCCTGGCCACTTGCATGTCACCCTGAAGCGCTTCGGCTCATTCTTTTTAATCTTCACATCCTTGTTATCCTTCACCGCATGATCTCTAATAGCTCCTCGAGCTTCAATTATATCAGTAAAAGTCATGCCCAACTCAAAAAATGGGGTTGGTGTGTTTGGATTGTATTTGGGGTAGTAACTTTTTCTCCTAATCCCATGATCTGCGATTTCATCTTCTTCATCGGTGTCATCATAGCTCCCATAATCATCAGAACTAAATCCATTGTCTTTGTCAGCATTTGAGTGATCAGTATCTTCAAAAGTGATTGGTATACCTTTCTTCAAATTTAATCTGGATCTCTTGATATTGTTCAACACTTCAGCTCTGTCTTCTATCTCATCCTCACTTGCCCAAGACCCAATCTCAAAATCACTATCCTCTAAATCTGATGTTTCATCCCATTCACCTGTTGGATCTGGTGACTCATCATTCACAGTCACACTAATATCATCACCCAATCCACCTAATTCCTTTTCACATGGAATTTCAGCCTACAAAACAAAATAATAGAGTTGGACCAAATAAAAAATTAAAATCCAACGTTTAAGAGAAAAGTACAAAGACCCTTTACCTGTGTCTGCAAATTTTGATGGGTGGACTCAGCAGCCATTTGTTCTTTTCTAGTTCCAAACCAAATAGCAAAAATTAGTCAACCACAAACGACAAACCTAGGAAATACAAAAAGCTTGTATGCCTATCAACTCCTAAACTATAGTTTAAGCATAATATTGTATTTTTGGTCCCTACAGAGCAACGACAATGAACCAACTTACCCAAAAAGATAAATATTAGGGTTTTTTATTGAGAATCACACACTCATGAAAAAACCCCAATTCAACTAGCAATCAACCTTCTATATTAATATAGGAACGATGTTAAGGAGAGTTCCTAACCTGATTTTGGTTTGAATTTCAGTCCAATTCGAGAACTGCAAGGCGGCGGCGGCTTCTTCACGCTGCGGCAGTCTTCTTTTGTGAAGGTATGCGGCAGCTCTTTTTACATTGAGATTCCTTTTATTTTTTGTTTAATGAAAAGCACGATGCAATGGAGGGGAAATTCTTTTATTATTTATTTTAGTTCCATATACATCACAATCGTACATGGGTTGGGATTGGGAAGCTAGGAAAATTTTAGGGACTTGGTTATAAGGGCAAAAGGGACATTTCAAGATCATATTTTTGCTGACTCAGCGTGCTTCTGCCACGTGGCAGGTGATTTAACGGAAGTTTAGACGGAGGGGCTTCTTTGTTATCTTAGTATAGGACAGGGGCTTATTTCGTTAAAAGTATAGTACAAGGGCTCATTTGTTATCTTTTGATAGTACAGGGGCTTGTATGCCTATTAATCCTTTATTAAATAACTTATAAGGAAATTGAAAAACTAACCGTTAAAATCAGCTAGTCACCAATAGTTTCAAAATCAATGAAGCTTCCCAATACATAAACAAACTCCGGAAACCTTAAGAATGGAAACCACAAACTAACATATATTTATATCAAACTTAAGAACGCATATCCCCGATCAGCATTCCACACGATGAGCCATCCAAAACCATCTGCAACAGGACAACAATCACCATGTTTAAACAAACAAACAAACAAACGAGAAAAACTTGGGTGGGACGGGAGCACCAACTAGGATTGGTGATGTGGTGCACCCGCCCAATCCTGTCCCGCCATCTGTCTCGCATTAATTAGCATTCCCAATTAAAACTCAAAATCATTAATTTCCTGGGTTGAGGCCTGCGGGAGTAGGGAGGCACGACACGGAGTGGTGCCGTGCCGCTTCGCCACAGCTTGCGATTTTAATTGGGTTTTAACTTTTAATTATCCCGTTTACATTGATTAATTTAGATTTGCTAGTTACCATGAATTTTGACAGTCTCTTTGTGATCAAACTTTATAATAAAGTAATGTATTATTCAATCATTACATTAACATGCTCAGCAAAATATACAAATGTTTTTTCATGTCCAAAAATAAAACATACAAATGAGTTTTCCTCAATATCCCTTCTTTCAAAATGTAAAAAAGTAAATTATCCATAATCCAAAGAGTGTCTATATAAAAATAAAAAACTTAAGATGGATGTCAATTGCCTGATCTAGAGTTCTGCAAAAATTTCATATTTATCTCAATATTTATAAGAAGGTTGATTCGATGAAATTTGTAGTGTGCTATAAAATCCTTTGAGTTTGATTTATGATAAGGCATG